TCTATAGAGTGAGTTCCAGGACAGGCTCCAAAGGAATACAAAGAAACCCTGTCTCAAAAAACCAAAACCAAAACAAAACAAAAAACAAACAAACAAACAAAAAGCCAAATAGGGGCTCTCTGAAGTAATGATGTTCAATCAAGATTCTACTTCTAGGGCTGGAGAGATCGCTCAGTGGTTAAAGTGTGACGGTTCTTCCAGTAGGACTTGAGTTCAATTCCCAGCAACTACCTGGCAGCTTGCAACGGTCTGTATTCCAGTTTCAAGTGATTTGGCAACTTTACACAGACATTCCTATAGGTAAAAACACCAATGAACATAAAATAAAAATAAGTAAGTCAAGTTTTAAAAAGATGCTACTTCTATCATTTTGTGCATTAGTTGTAAATACTTTTAAGTATAATATACTAAATGTTTTAATAATTATTTTTTTTAAAAGAAGGGGGTCTGATGAGATGGCTTATAAGTAAGGAGCACTAGCTGTTCTAGAAGATCAGGGCTCAATTTCCAGCACCCACATACTGATTCACAACCACATTTACCTCCAGTCTCAGGGGCTCTAACATCCTCTTCTGGCTTCCACCAGGACCAGGCATGCACATGGGCCACAGTCATACATTGCACACAAAATCATCCACACACATAAAACAAACAAGCGAATAAATAGAATTTAAGGTAAGAGAGAGAGAGAGAGAGAGATAAATTGGAAAAAATCTAAAAATAGAAGTGTATTATGATCCAAAATTGCAATGATTGGATATATATCCTCCCCAAATGAAATCAGTATCTAAAACAGGCTGCTTGTTGCAGGACAATTTAAAAAAGAAATGGTGGGAAGGAGTCACACCATACAACAGGGTTCACATGAGATGTTTATTGGAAGAGGAGAGAGAAGGAGCAGAGAATGGGGCAGAGAGGGAGCAGAGAGAGAGAGAGAGAGAGAGAGAGAGAGAGAGAGAGAGAGAGAGAGAGAGAGAGAGAGAGAGCAGTCCCTGGGGACAAGATTGGTGGCAGAAGGGAAACAGAGAGAGGGAGAGAGAGACAGACAGACAGAGAGAGAGAGAGAGAGAGAGAGAGAGAGAGAGAGAGAAAGGCGGGCAAGCCCACCTCTTTTTATTTTAAAGATTTTTAAAATTTATTATGTATAGTGTTCTGCCTGCAAGTATACCTGCAGGCCAGAAGAGAGCACAAGGTCTTGGTGGATGGTTGTGAGCTACCTTGTGGTTGCTGGGAATTGAACCTGGGTCCTTTGGAAGAACAGCCAGTGCTCTTAACTGCTGAGCCATGTCTCCAGCCAAAACCCTCCTTTTTTTTCCCTTAGGACAATGTTTCTCTGTGTTTTTGGAGGCTGTCCTGGAACTCCTCTGTAGACCAGGCTGGCCTAGAACTCACAGAGATCTGCTTGCCCCTGTCTCCTGAGTGCTGGCATTAAAGGTATGCACCACCAACACCTTGTTTAAGACCTACCTTTTAAAATGGAATATAGTGGATGTAGACAGAAGGTACTCTTAGTGGCTGCAACTGAGAACATACCCTGTCAGGATCTCAAGGCCAGTACAGATGCCTAAATACTAACAATAGGGAAGATACGAAATCAAGCTAAATACCTGTCAATGGATATATGAATAAAAATGTGATAAATTCATGCCAAACATTATTGTTCAAAGATTAAAAAGGATGTTGTTGGACCAGGCATAGTGACACCCACCTTTAATCCCAATACTCAGGAAGCAGAGGGAGGTAGATCTCTGTCAGTTCAAAGCCAGCCTGGTTTGCAAAGTGAGTTTCAGGACAGCCAGGGCTATACAGAGAAACCCTGTCTTGGAAAACAAAACAAAAATCTAACAAACAAAGAAGACAAAAAGAAAAACAAAGGAAAAGAAGGATTTTGTCAGTTGTAATAATATGAATTGGGCTGAAAAACAGTGTTGTAAGTAAAATAAGCCAGACATAAAAAGAAAATACTACATCTTTTCATCTGTAAATCTGAATTCATAGAGGTTGAGAGTGAAACAATGTTTACTAGAGACTGAGGAACAAATAGGACAGGTTTGGTCAAGATAGACAGAGGTTGTCCTATATGCTGCATAGATAGGAGCATATAGAGATGTTATAACTTATTTAAAAACGCTGTGAAGAAAAGTCACACCATGCAACAAGGAGGTTTATGTAAAGAGGAGAGAGAAAGGTCAGAGAAGGAGGCAGAGAGGGAGCAGAGACAAGTTCCCTTCTCCCATTTCCCCTCATCCACTCCTCAGAGGCGGTATGGCCTTCCTTGGGGAGTCAGGATGGCTCAGCTGTTAAAGGCTAGGCTCACAACCAAAAATATGAGACTCTCATTTAAAAAAAAAATCCACAATGTAAAAGTCTTTAAGTTCCTTAATCTCTCCCCCTATTTGTACTTTTAAAATTATTTATTTTTAATTTTATGAGAATTAAATGTTAGCCTGCATGTATGTCTGTGTGAGGATGTAAGATCCCTTGGAACTGGAGTTACACAAATTTGTGAGCCACCATGTGGGTGCTGGGAATTGAACCCTGGTCCTCTGAAAGAGCAGCCAGTGCTTTTTTGTTTTGTTTTGTTTTGCGGCAGAGTTTCTCTGTGTAAATAGCCCTGGCTGTCCTGGAACTCTCTTGGTAGATCAAACTGGCCTCTAACTCACAGAGATCCATCTGCCTCTGCCTTTCAAGTACTGGGATTAAAGGTTGGTGACACCATGCCCGACTCAGCCAGTGCTCTTAACTACTGAGCCATCTCTCTAGCCCAAGATACTTTAAAACGTGTGTGTGTGTGTGTGTGTGTGTGTGTGTGTGTGTGTGTGTATATGCGCGCGCACGCGCTCTGGAATGGTGAGCCACATGATGTGGATGTTGGAAACCTAGCACAGGTACTCTGAGAGAGCAGTAGGTAATTGTTGAGCCATCGCTCCAGTCTGTCACAGCATTTTTAACTCCTTTAATAATAGTACTGCAAGAAATATCATAGTTGGGTGTGGCAGTATATATCTATGTTATTCTATAAGGATATGTGTAACTAAATACTAGAGAATAGAATTTCCACAGGAAAGAATTGTAGGCTGTTATATTTATTGTTTAATAGATTTTGCCAAATTGCCCTCCATAAAAAGATAGAATTAAAATATCTGCCTCCAACAGAGTATAAGAATCTCCATATTCAGACAAAATAGTCATTATTATTGGATTTCTAAACTTTGACATCATATTGGAAAAAACAGTTAAGGCACAGCTGTTTTGATTTGCATGTTTTTGAAATTTGGATCGTTTGAATTTTTCCTCTGTGAACAAATCTGTTTAAGTCTTTGGCACATTTTTTTTCTAATTGAGTTATTTTATTAATGATTTGTAAGGGTATTTAAATTACAACCAGTCTTCTGGCATCCGTTGATTATGCTTCTTTTTAAACATGAACACAGACTTCAAATTTTATGTTAATTGATCCATGAATTTTTTTCTTTGGGAGAGAAAGTAAATTTTTAGTTCTGAAAGCACGTTAGTAGTGTTTTAAGACATTATGAGCTCCCTGGCTCACCTCTTGAAAGGGCCTTCTCCAAACAGGGGCCCCCTCACGAGGGAGGGCCTCAAGCTGGGGTGTCGTATTTCAACATTCTAAGAAGGAGGCTGCCGAGTCCTTTATATTGGGAGTATGATTCCCCAGTGGAAACAGGTGGGCGCCTGGGGACTCTCCTGAATATTTTGTTCCCGAGTTCTTTTTTTTTTTTTTTTTTTTTTTTTTTTTTGAGGGTGGTGCACTAAAGTTATTTAGGAAGGCAGGGGGTAAAAAGACCTCTCTTGAGGACCGCTTGGAATCCTGGACTTTGTTCTCCCATTTGTGAGGGCGAAAACACTCATGGCCATGGTGTTCTAACAATACATCATCCACAGACCTTCATGCCTATTGCTGCTGGAAAATTTTCAAAGATCGCCACCAACACGGTGACAGAACAAAAATGGCCGAACCTGAGGAGATCGCACCATTGCCATGATAGGGTGACAGACAATTCCACCTGTTAAGTCTCCTTTCTATCTATGTGGTAGCAGTTGCTCCTTTTGTGGGTGTGGTGAGACTGATGTAAAAATCAAAAAAAAAAAAAAAAAAAAAAAAAAAAAAAAAAAAGCCATCATAGGATACAGAACAGAAAACAGGCTAACCTTTAAAATCACTCACTGGTTTTTAAGACACTGTGCTCATCTGAGTTTGGTCTTTGGTCTTTATTCAAGTATCCAGGATCCTCTCTCTGTGAAGAAGTACTCAGCCAGGCACCTAATAGGCAGAGGTAAGTATAGCCAAAACCTCAAAAGCTTTCAATTATTTCTTTATAACTATCAGGTTTTGAAACCTGAACGTCTTTCCAAAGATTAATTTGCTGATTGCATTGAAAAAACGGGTTGGCATTTTTTAGGAAAAAAATTGTATTTAAAACGTCAGTAATTACATCTGTTTTCAAAGCTCAGAAGTAGTTTATAGCAACTAGAAAACGTTTTTTTAAGTGTCATAAAATTGTGTAAATGGATGAGTCTTTAAAATTTTTGCAACCTGGATATTTTCATGGCGAATGTAAACGTCTTTACTGCATTTTCCCAACACTGGGCGGGGGAGGGGGGCGATGATGCTAACAGAAAAGGGAATACAGACAAAGAGAGTGAAGGCTCTGGTTGCACGGTTTTTCTCCTTTCTCTAGGCGATTTGGTGATGGGGTTGTTACTAAGGGAGGCAGGTTGTCTAGAGAGCCAGTGGGGAGCGTTGCTATTGTAGCCTGAGAGGAAAAGAAAGGATTCCTCAAAGATGCAGAAAAGGCTACAGCCAAGGCCTGGGAGTGGGTGGGGGTACAGACCCTTCCTAGTAACCAGGGACCGGTAAACTCCAACCGCTAGATGGTGATGACACTTGTGGGCTCTCAGATTGGAGAGCTCCGAGATGAGTGACAAGGCGGGGCGCGCTGGGGCTCCATGCATGGACGCTAGGAGGGGGGTGCTTGTGCGTGCTGAAGGGGGTCCTGTGGACTGCCTTCCGACCAGTGGGGGGTTGTGAGGAGGAGGGCGAGCGATGACGCGCGGCCCTCACGTGACCTGGAGCTGCAGAGCGACGCAGCCTTGGGTGCAGTCGTCACTCGAGTCTGGCCACCAGCTCCCCGCTGCCCTGCGCGCGGCGGGCTGGCATTGGGCCCGGGGCGAGCTGATCAGGTAAGGGCCCCGGGGCTGCGACGCCACGGCCCCACTAGCCGCAGCCTCCGATCCCGCGGCGCTGTGGAGATGGATTGAGGAGGGGGGTGTCCATGCTGCATTAAGTTCAAGGAGCCTTCCCCTCCTATTTCTCCCGCGTCCCCCAGCCCCTGGCTGAATCTGCGCAAGGGAAGCTTGTGCTTTGACAGGGCCTCTGGTGGAGAAGAGTCTCTAGAGGGAAATGCAGAGGGAAATGCCCATCCTCTTTAATTAACTGCATCAATGGGCGTCCGCACATGTCCGCGGGCTTCCTGCTCCTTTCAGAGGAGGGACGCGCGCCACCGTGGCATTTGCTGAGAAAATGGTGGGCCTTAATGCCTGGACGGCGGGCTCGGTAGGGGTGGTGTCTCAGAATGAGGGGAGGGACCTTTGACAACCAGATTCCAAAAAGGAGAATGTTGGGATGTGTGGCCTTGGTGCTGGCCTAAGCACTCAGTGCCTTTACTCTCCTTTTGGACAATAGTTCGGTGTGGCACTGTTTGTGGTGAGGCGAGGGAAAAACGGAGACGGAGACAAGAGCACTGCCCAGGATCTATGGAGGTTAGTGTGAGCGCCAACACTGAATCATTGAAGTTCTGTATGGATTCTATGCAGCCACGTAGGCACTGTTACGTGTGTGTGTGTGTGTGTGTGTGTGTATTTGAATATAATATATATATATATATATATATATATATATATATATATATGATTATGATGTGGGGTGGGGCTAGCCTGGGAACTTTACCTAAGCTTTGTTTCCTTATCAGGCTTTAGACTTTTCACTTAAATTCTATGGTGAATACCAATAAAGACAAAACTTTATTGCAGATTATTTTGATTTGTGTCAGACGATATTGAAAAATACAAATTATTGTGTAAAAGAATGGTACTATTGTTTGATATAGCCTTTGGGGGATGGGATAATGATTTTGCAGAAGCAAAAGCCCTCCTCCACACCTTGTATCCTGTGCTGAGACTCCTAGAGATGGCTTTCAGGGAAGCAGATGGCAGGCTGTGATTGAAGAATCATGGGATCTGGGGCCTCCATCTCTTCCGCCATCCTCCTTTTCAGACAGTCATGTCTACCTGGCCATCTTGATAAAGGAAATGGTGGACTTTGGGGGAAAGACCTAGAATCCTACAGGTGGTTTAAAAATAAATTTTCTCCTTTTTCTCCCTTTTTCTTTTCTTCCCTCCCTCACTGTGCTATTCATTTAGTGTAGATGAAATCCTAGGTTCTGCCTGAGGCTCTAAATCCCTGAAAGGCAGGGCCGGGGGACACAGATGTTTTGTGCTAGGCTATCAGAAGCACTCAGCACTCACCCTCTCCATTTTCTTTGTCTGTTCCCAGGGCTTTTCATGTTTGAAGTAGGGCTTTTTACTCCTGGAAGCAAGGGAAGGAGGGGGAGACTGTTTTGGAACTATGGAGGTTGGTCTGAAGGTGGGTAGTGGCTGGGGATGACAAAAGAGGGTGGGCTGAGCTTGAAAAGGCTTCAGTGGATGGCACTTCTGCCTTTTCTACACATGGCTGCTTTCCACAATGCTGCAATACAACCTGTTAATTGCAGTGCAGGAAAGGGTGGGAATATTCGAGAGAGGGTGGACTGGGCTGCAACAAAGAAGGCTAGAGATGGGATCACAAGATAATATACATTGTTAAAATGGACCAGAACCCTGGCGAAGCAGACATTGGAATCAAGAATTAGGGTGCTTGTTTGTTCTACTAAGGACACAGTCTCCATTATCTCCTGTTTATCTACTTGCCTATAGATCCTCCTGCATGTCTGCTTCAGAGTCTGAGATCATTGGAAGCAAGGAAGCAAAGAGGAAATTATCTGTGATCAGTATAACTGGTAAGAGGGTGGGAACTGTCTAGTTATGCCTCGAATGTGGGTTAGTGGAGATCAGTGTGCATCCTGTAAGGGGCTGTCTGGAGGAGCTTTTTATTCTTTTTTTATGGCCATTTTTCTAATCATTCCTGAAATTTACCCCAAACCTTTACCTTAATTCTAGTATATGGAAAAGAGTCTGATAGCACCTAAGGATATTGGGTAAACTGAGGGAGTGGATTGTTAATAATACAATGGCTCTATCTCTCCCTTTGTCTGTCTTTCTCTAGGTCTAAAGGTCTCCTGACTCTATGTACCTTTAGGATGTTTCACCAAGCAAAAGAAGGATAGAAGAGGGAACTTCCTTCGTTTATTCCAGGTTCGTATGAGTGGGGACCTGTAATAATAGCAATCAGAGTAGATCCCTTAAAATCTAGTTCTAGGAGTCTCTGTTCCTCATCCATTCTTCATTAGCCCTCCTGCCATCCTTGACACAATTCATTTTGCATATTAAAATGGCTGGGCATTGGGGAGGGTAGGAGGAAATGAAACAAGTGATGCAAATTTTGGTTCTTGAACTTCCAACAAGTACATTGCTTCAATGCTTTCCTGTTCTCCAGACAGTTCCTGTTTTCCAGACGGTTAAATTCATTTCCTTCTTCCACTTCTAGGTCTACTTCCAGTGGCAGCTCTCCTGACCTTTAAGTGGTTAAACACCATTGTCCAGTCACACCACCCTCTTTCCTAGCCCGAGTGAGCCCTCCTATACATTGTGTGCCTTCAGCAGGGGTGATTACATGGGCCGTGTTCAGGACGTGGGCTGGGCGACTGCAGGACTGGTAATCTGGGCTGGTACCTGTTACTGCATTTACAGATTAACCAAGGGAAGATCTCAGAGTGTGAGCAGATTTGCCAGAAATGGGTCCAGAATCGAGACGGAGACTGTGGTTGGGGAAGAGAACCAGACCGTGGCCACAGGCGAAGTCATGGCTGGAGCAGAGACTGAGACTAGAGCCATGACTGAACCAGAACCTGGAGAAGGAGGTGAGCCTGTGGCTGAAGTAGACACCAAGGTCCCTTTTCTAGATAGACCCAATATCCATTCTCAGGCTGAGACAATGCTTGGGGAAGAGATAGAGACTCATTCTGAGACCAGTTTATTGGTGGAAACGATGGTCATGACAGATGCAGTGACTTTCACTGAAGCCACAGCCCAAGCCAAGGAAGTAACCATGAAAGAGGCAGTTACACAAACTGATGTTGAGGCTGAGGAAGTAGGCAAGAAAGAGGCAGTGACTCAGACCAAATCTAAAGCTTGGGCAATGGCTGACAGGTCAGAGGTCAAGAAAGAAGCAATGACCCAGACCAAAGCAGAAGCTCCTCCATTGGCTGAAAAAGAGACAGAGATTAACAGAGTAACAGTGACACAGAGTGAGGTCTTGGCAGTTACCAAGGAAGTAGTCAAGATTGGAACCATGAATGAGACTGGAATTATGGCAGAAGCCACGATAAGAGCACTGGAAGAGACTGTGTGTGTGACTAGGACTCAATCTGAGACTAGGCTTGATGTCACAGTTGATATTAATGAAAATCCCAGTGATATGCCCCTCATAGTGGCTGGAGTGGACGTGAGATCCTATGCACAGTCTCAGGCTGTGACCATAATCCAAAGTGATGATGTGATCGGTGATGAGGTTGACGATCAGGGGAATCTCAAAAACACATCTAAGGCAGGGTCTGCAGTAGACAGAGACACTTCTGCTCAGCCTCATATTGTTGCCAACATTCTGGCTGAAGCCATGCCAGGGGCAAAGGATGATGCTTGTGATAACACAAAAGACATTTGGGAAGCAGAGGCAGATATGAGAACTTGTATAATACAACCTGAGATTGTGACCATGATACAGGCTGAGGCAATGTCTGGTGCCACGACTGATGATGGGGAAGATGCCAGTGATGTATCTAAGGCAATGACTGGTGATGACATAACTGATACTGATCCTCAAGCGGTAACCAGTGACCAGACTGAAGCTATGCCTGATGCCAATGTTAATGGTAAAGGTAATGCCAGTGCCATGGCTAAAGCAGGGGACAAAGCAAACACAAACACCCATTTGCAGACTGATGCCTTGCCTGATGCTGAGGATAAAAACAGAAGTGATACCAATGACATGGATAAGGCAGAGGCTAGTGTAGACGTGGCTTTCTGTACCCAGCCAGAGCCTGTGGCCAATGTCCAGGGTGATGACTTGCCTGATGGCAAAATCAAGGCTAAGGACAATGCCAATACCATATCTAAGGAAGGAGCTCAGACTATGGCCCAGAACCAGGGTGAAGCCTTACCTAATACTAAAGGTAAGGCTAGAGGCAAAGCCAAAGGCAAGTGTAAGGCAGGAGCTGCGACAGATGTGAAAACATGTGCACAACCTCAAGGTGGAATCAAAACCCAAGCTGATGCCTCGTCTGATTCCAAGGTTGAGAGCAAAAGTGACTCTAATGCTGTTTCTAAAGCAGCGGCAAAGGCAGACCAGAAAGCCTGTGCTCAGCCACAGCCTGTGGTCAATTGCCAGAATGAGACCTCGCCTGCTACTAAGAATAAGGTCAAGGGCAATCCAAATCCTATGCCTAAAGCAGAGGCTGCAACAGCTACAGCAGGCTCTGCCCAGACCAATGTTGTGACCAGTTCCCAGGGTGAGACCACACCTGGTACCAAGAATAAGGTCAAGGGTAATCGTAATTCTGTGCCTAAAGCAGGGGCTGGGCCAGATACTACGGGTTCTGCCCAGACCCAGACTGTAGCCAATTCCCACAGTGAGGCTTTACCTGGTGCCAAGAATAAGGTTAAGAGCAATCCCAATGTTGTGCCTAAGGCAGAGGCTGGGGTGGGTGCCTGTACCCAGTCTGTGGCCATTTCCCAGGGTACTTCCTTGACTGGTACCAAGGCTAAGGTCAAGGGCAATTCTAGTGCTGTGTCTAAACCAGATGCTGGGGCAGGTACAACGGGCTCTGCCAAGGCTGTGGCTAATTCCCAGGGCGAATTACCTGGTTCCAAGAGTAAGGTTAAGGGTAATTCCAATGCGGTGCCTAAGGCAGATGCTGGGACAACTTCAACAGACACTGTTCAGCCCCAGGCTGAGGCCTTGCTTGGTGCCAGAAATAAGGTCAAGGGCAATTCCAGTTCTATGCCTAAAGCAGAGTCTGGGGCAAGTACGATACTGGCTTTGGCTTCTTCCCAGGCTGAGGCCTTGCTTGGTGCCAGAAATAAGGTCAGGGGCAATTCCAACACTGTGCCTAAAGCAGAGGCTGGGTCAGGTGCAAGGGGCTCTGCCCAGACCCAGGCTGTGGTCAGTTCCCAGAATGAGACTTTGCTTGGTGCCAGGAATAAGATTAGGGCCAATGCTAGTACTAAATCAGGTGCCAAAACAGGTACAAGGAGCTCTGTTCAGCCCCAGGCTGTGGTCAGTTCCCAGAATGAAGCTTTGCTTGGGGCAAGGGATATGGGTCTGTCCAGCTCACAGGTAGAAGCCACTGTAGACAATAGGATGTATGCAAGGCCGGTGGCAGGTGCTGTGCCCACTTCGGAAATTGTGAGTGGGGTAGGTGCTCAGCCTAACATGCACGATTATTACTGGAATGGGATTGGTGTTGAGGACTGGATTGCTGCTGAGCGGTGGATCAAATTTAGGTTTCAGACCATAGATGGAGACTGGGAGAACAGTGTATCCTGGGCTGAGGATGAGAATGGAGCCAGTGTTGGGCCCTGGAGTGGGGCCAATGATAAGACTGGCATTGTTAGTTCCTGGGCTGTGGCTTGTGATGAATCTAGCATTAAGTCCTGGACTGGGGCTAGGACTGAGAATGAGGTGGCTCTTGGATCCTGGGTAGGTGCTGGTGACCAGGCCAGTGGAGCACTCTGGGCAGGAGCTCAGGCTACTGAGGGGACCTGGGTTGGGGACAAGGCCAGTGGAGCTTCCTGGACTGGAGCTGAAAACCAGATCAGTGCAGGTTCTTGGGTTGTCTCTGGAAACCAGGCCATTGCAGGGCCCTGGGCTGTGAGTCAAGTCAGTGATGGGTCGTGGCCTGCAGTCCAGGCCAGTGGAGTGTCCTGGGTTGTGGACCAGGCTACTGGGACCTGGACTGTGGCTGATAACCAGGCTGGTGCAGTGTCTTGGGCTGGAGCTGGCAACATTGTTAGTATTGGATACTGGACTGGGGCTGTGGACCAGACCAATGCAGTTGCCTGGACAGGAACTGGTGATCAGGCTGTTGGTGAAGCCAAGCCAAGGTTTGAAGATCAGGCCAGTGAAAAAGGGACCTGGGCTGGAGCTGCTGTCCAGACCAGTGGAGAGTCCAGCGGAAGGGCTTGGCCTGAGACTGCAGACCAAGCCAGTGCAGCATCCAGGCTTGGGACTGTAGATCCATCTGGTGGTGCATCCTGGCCTGGCACTGGGGACCAGGCTGGTGGAGTAGCTACATCAGGCTCTGCAGACCAGTCCAGCAGTGGGTCTTGGGCTGGCACTAGGAATCTGGCTGGGGAAAGATCCTGGACTGGGACAGGTGACCAGTCTGATGGTGGATCTAAACCTGGTTTTGAGAATCAGACAGGTAATGAAGGGTCTTGGACTGGCACTATTAGCCAGGCTAGTGGAGGGTCCAAGTCGGTGCCTGAGGATCAGTCTGCTGGAAGATCCTGGACAGATTCTGGAGACCAGCTCAGTGGAGGGTTCTTGGTTGGGCCTTTGGACCAGGCCAATGGAGAGTCTCAGCCTGGTTCTGGAGATCTGGTTGCTAGTGGAGTAGATCATTCCAGTGGAGGAGGATGCTGGGCTGGTTCTGGGGACCAGTCTGGTGGAGAATCTAGGATGGGGTCCAGGGACCAGTCTAATGCAGAGTCTTGGCCTGGCACTGGAGATCAGACCAGTGGATGGTACTGTACTTACACATCGAGTCAGGCCATTGGAGGAGCCTCTTGGGTTGGGGCCAGTGCTCAGGATGTTGGAGGGTCGAAGCCAGTGCAGGTGAATCAGTCTAGTAGTGGGTCCTGGCTTGGAACTGGAACTCAGGTCAGTGGTGTGTCCTGGACTGGTGATCAGGTTGGTGGCTGTCCTAAACCTGGATTTGAGGATCAGGCCATTGGAGGAGGATTCTGGGCTGGTGCTGGGGACCAGAGCACTGGAGGGTCCAGGCCAGCTGTGTCTGAGGATCAGTCTAGTGGAGGAGTTTCTTGGGGTGGAGCTGGTGCTCATGTCATTGGAGGATCTAGAACATGTCCCACTGATCAGTCCAGTGGTGGATCCTGGGCTGGCATTGGGAGTCAGGTCAGTGGAGGGTCCTGGGTTGGGACTGTGGATCAGACTAGTGGTTGTTCTAAATCTGGATTTGAAGATCAGGCATGTGTGGGAGGCTCTTGGACTGGTACTGTGGATCAGACTAGTGGAGAATCCTGGCCTGGCTCTAGGGCTACTAATGAAGCCAGTGGAGTATCTAAGCTAGATACTCAAGAGCAGACCAGTGGAAGATTCCTTGTAAGTGCTGAGGTGGAGGCCAATGAAGGATTTTGGTTTGGGCCTGGGAGTGAGGCCTTTATAGGGTCTTGGTGCTGGACAGAAGAGGCTACTATTTTTCCTATAGCTGATATGAAGGATGAGGCCAGAGTTGAATCCACCTCAGGCACTAGGGAAGAAACCAGTGTTAGTTCTGGATTGGGGGATGAAAAGAAGGCCAGATCTGAGGAGACAGCCTTTGTAGGCACCTGTGTTGGAGGTGAGCCTGAGAGTGTGGCTGGAGCTGAGGCTGAAGTTGAGACAGAGGTTAAGGTTACAGCTGAAGCTGAGGCTGGAGCTGGGCCTGAGGCTGGATCCGAGGCAAAGGTTGAGGCTGAGGTGGGTGCGGAGACTAGGGAAGAGGCTGGGGCAGCAGCTGCAGCTGATTCTGAGACTGGAGCTGAGGCTGGTCCTAGAGTTGAGGCAGGGGCTGGGGCCGAAGCTGGAATGGGGTTTTGGTCCTGGGATGGAGATGCAGCCACTAAAGGGTCCAGGCTTGGGGCTGGGGCTGAGGCTGAGGCTGAGGCTGAGGCTGGAGTTGTGGGAGGGGCTGAGGCTGAAGCTGAGACTGAGAATAGCATGGGATTTTGGTTCTGGGATGGAGATGCAGCTACTAAAGGGTCTAAGCTTGGAGCTGAGGCTGGGGCTGAGGCTGGGATTGGGACAGGAGCAGGGGCAGAGGCTGAAGCTGTGACTGAGACCAGCATGGGATTTTGGTTTTGGGAAGGAGACACATCTGCTAAAGGGTCGAGGCTTGGGGCTGAGCCAGAGGCTGGAGCTGGAGCAGGGGCTGAGGCTGTGGCTGAACCTGTGGCTGAGACCAGCATGGAATTTTGGTCGTGGGATGGAGATGCAGCCACTAAAGGGTCTAGGATTGGAGCTGAGGTTGAGGCTGGGGCTGGAGTTGTGGCTGAGGCTGGGGCTGAGACCAGAATGGGGTTTTGGTTTTGGAATGAAGACTCAACCAATAAAGGGGCTGGGCTTGGGGCTGAGGCCGGGGCAGGAGTTGTTGCGGAGGGTGGGGCTGAAGCCAGGATGGAGCTTTGGTCCTGGGATGGAGATGCAACCTCTAAAGGGTCTAGGCTTGGGGCTGAGGCTGAGACTAGCTTAGGGTCTTGGACTTTTTCTACAGAAGTAAATGATGATGATGAGGAGGAGCTAAGTAGAGAATCCAGCCCTGGTATTGAAGAGATCAGTCTAAGAACCTTGTTTGGGGCTGAGAGTGAGGACAATAATGACCTCAGATCTACAAATGAAAAAGAAGCCAATTCTGAATCTGGGACTGGGGATAAGGACAACACTAAAGATAAGTTTGATGCTGCTGATGGAGTTGACATCCGGTCTTGGTTCTGTATTGGTAATGAAAACAGAGGTGAGGATGAGTCTACATCTCAGGTGAAAGCCAAAAAGTCGATTGAACCAAGAGGCATATATCCATCCATGGTCCCTGGGGCAGGAATGGGTGTATGGGATGGAACCATAATTTGTTCGGAGAGCAAGTTATTACACCAAACCAGCTTTCCAGGTGAAGATGGCTTCAGAAAGCAATTCGGTACTGGAGAGAAGGTGCATTGCTGCAACTGCCGCTGGAAACGTGACATCAATCTTGACCCTCAAGATCTTGAAAAGCTCATTTGCATGATTGAAATGACTGAAGATCCTTCTGTTCACGAAATAGCCACGAATGCTCTATATAACAGCGCTGATTATCCTTATCCCCAGGAAATTGATAGGAATGTAGGTGGGATTTCAGTTATCCAAAGCTTATTGAGTAATCCCTATCCTACTGTCCGGCAGAAGGCTTTAAATGCATTGAATAACATCTCAGTTGCTGCTGAAAACCATAGAAAGGTTAAGACATATTTAAGCCAAGTATGTGAAGATACTGTCACCTATCCCTTAAATTCAAATGTACAAGTGGCTGGACTAAGATTGATAAGACACCTGACTATTACTAGTGAGTATCAGCATATGGTTACCAATTATATTTCAGAATTTCTCCGTTTGTTGGCTATGGGAAGTGGAGAAACTAAAGACCATGTTTTAGGAATGCTTGTGAATTTCTCTAAAAATCCATCCATGACAAAAGACTTGCTCATTGCCAATGCACCAACAGCACTGATTAACATTTTCAGCAAGAAAGAGACAAAAGAGAATATCCTGAATGCTCTTTTACTTTTTGAAAATATAAATCATCATTTTAAAAAGAGAGCAAAAACATATCCCCAAGACAGGTTCAGTAAAAGTTCCCTTTATTTCCTGTTTCAACGACCTAAAGCCTGTGCCAAGAAACTTAGAGCCTTAGCAGCAGATTGTAGTGACCCAGAGGTGAAAGAAAGGGTTGAGGTATTAATAAATAAGCTCTGATTGGCTATCTGTTCCCCCCAAAGCTTGAGTATCATTTTTGTTTTACACCTTTGACATGATGTACATTGTAAATTGTATTAGAACTTTTAAACTAATGTTGTCTATGAGGGTCTATAGCTGAACAATTTTATGAACACCAAATGAATTCAAACTTGTTCTGGTAATACATGTGTCAATTTTTATCTTGTCTGGATTGAGATATTTTTAGTATGCTTCATGAGCAGAAACCAAACTGATTCTTCATAAGTAAGGTAATCTTTGGTCCTTTGTGTGGACTTATGTTTATACATTTGAGACTTTATTTTTATGTCATCAATAAAGTTGTGTGTTTTAAGAAGCAAAAAAAAAAAAAAAGAGAGAGATAATTGTCTTCATCCTTGTGCTTATGATCTGCTTGGAAAGATACACGGCAATAAAATTGTAAGTCTTTGGGTCACAGCTGCTTCCCATCAGTGCTTGGAGGAGGCAGAGAAGGCTGCATGAGGTATCAGTGCCTGGGAGTGCTTTATGGAAAGGGGGTCTTTTAAAGCAAATTGTGCTTGAAGAATAAGATACAAAAGGTCAAAAGGATCATTTGAGGAGGGAGAATTGGTGGGAGAAAGACAAGGAAGTGGGAAATGATTCAGGAGGGCTGTGAGAAGAAACAGAAGAGCGAGGAAGTTAGCATGATGTCTGTCTGTGGAGCACCTCTGATTGCTAGAGTGTCTCTGCATATTATATTTATCCCTAGAAACAGCAAGGACTTTCATGATTAGAGGATGAAAGGAAAATAATGTGGTTGATTTGTGTTCAGGATGAGTCCAAGTTGGAGTGAGGACAGGAATGGTGACTAGAGATAGGAAAACAAGCTGGAAAGTGCTAGCATTATAGCACAGGCATGAGATGATAAAACATCTGAAATGTCATTAAATAAATAAGTACAAAACATAAGTGAGAATTCTCTCCTTTGTGACTTATTATATAGTCAAGGCTGACCTTGAACTCCCTGTACCTGGGGTCAGAAACCCCTGTAATGAGTAAGTGCTTCATTCTATTCTGGAAACATATAAAGAGGATCAGTTTTTATTTTAGGGTTGTGGAGTACATGGGAATATGTCCTCTTTCATGGCCAACTGTAGTATCTATAGAAGTGTGCAAGAAAATTGTTTTGAATTAACAAGAAAATATAGTTGAAAGAAAAGTAAATTTTAGTGTTTTCACCAGGATTTCTTTAGTAAGATTGGTTGGAGTGGGGTTTCATGGTACCATCAAGAATGGTGTTATCCTCCACAGGGACATGATCCAATATTTTTCCACCACATAGTGTTGGCAAGGGTACCTTCACATGTGTGTGAGCGTGAGCATTCAGGCTGTGTGGCTGGCAGCATACAAAGTAAGTTACTGAGCATTTCCGTCCTTATCTACTGATTTACTTTCCTTGTGTTAAAAAAGAAACTAGGAAAAGGAAAGTAGTAAGAAAAAAATAGTTTTTTTTTCCAGTTTTGCCTAGTTTGAGGGTGAAGGATGTATGTGGGATTCTTACAGTTTATAGAAAGCTGCAATATCTTTAAACACAAAAAATACACACACTCACACATGTACACACAATTCATGCATGCGTGTGTGTTCAATTAGTTCTTTCCTCCGGTGACTGAGGCTGAGTTTGTCTCCATCTGTTGTTATCAGCAAGTATTCTCTATTTTCAGTACAGAGAAACATACACATCTCTCTTTAGAGCTCTAGCCCATTCTCTCTTCACTTGGAATCTTGATTACAGGTACAAGGTCCATTGGAACATTTCAAAGCTTTTAAGGTATACGTGTCTTTCTTTTTCCTTTATTGTGTTTTATTTTATTTTGTGGTGTGTGTGTGTTTGTGTGTTGTGGAAAGGGCTTGCCATGGCACAAGGGACCACTTGTGGGAGTTAGTTCTTTCCTTCCACCATGTGGGAACTGGGGCTTGAACTCAGGTTGTCAGGTTTGGCAGCAAGTGCCTTTTCCCAATGAGCCATTTCACTTGCCCTGTGTATGCCCTTTCACCCAATAATAATATTTGTAGAAATACATCTTTAAAGGCAAATAAAACAACCAGTTTGCAATGAGTTGTGTATCTTCAAACTGTGTTGAAAAGTGAAAAAGTATAAGATTATTTAAAATAGGCATCTACATTTATGGCAGATATTTTGGCATGCAATCCTCAGTAGGAAAACCAACTGTAAAAGCATATATAATATCTGTGAAGAAAAAAGTGTGCATTTAAATGATCCTCAAGGGGCTGGGGAGATTGACTCAGTGATGTGCTTGCTGTGAAATCATGGGGACCTACCTGACTTTGGATCTCCAATACTCACATAAAAAGCTAAACTGGCAGTTTGCCTGAAATCCCTCTTTTGTGGGCTCAGGAACAAGATGATCCCAGCGATTTTCTGCTCAGCCAATCTAGACAATGGGCAGGCTCCAGGTTCAGTAAACAACAGTGTCTGAAAACAACACAATAACCAAGGTGGAGGGCTGGTGAGATGGCTTAGCCTTAAGAGCACTTGCTGTTCTTGCAAAGAACCTGAGAGCATTTCTCAGCATCCATGTAGGGCAGTTCACAACCATCTGAAACCCCAGCTTCAAGGGATCTTGACCTCCTTTTCCAGCACCCATGGGAACACACACCTATGGTTTACACTCAGATATACACATGCACATGAATTTTAAGAAAGGAAATTAATCTTTAAAAGAGTAAACCAAGGGCTAGAGAGATGGCCCAGAGGTACAGAACATTGGCTGCTATTGTAAAGGTCCTGAGTTCAATTCCCAGCAACCACAGAGTGGCTCATAACCATCTGTAATGAGATCTGGTGCTCTCTTCTGGTGTGCAGGCATCCACACAGGTAGAATACTGTATAAATAATAAATCTTTTTTTAAAAAGTAAACCAACAAAGGAGGAGAACCAGTCCACTAGGAAGATACCCAAGTTGAATTCTGGTCTACTCATGCACATGCATGCCACACATGAGCACACACACACATGAACATGTACAGACACAACAAAATGGCCTCTAAAATGAACTGTTATGTATTATGAGAACATTAATATTTTATTGGTATTAGTTAGACTGATGGGAGGTTTTTAATTAGTTCTTTTAAAGACAAAAAGATTTACTTAATTTTTTAAATTTATCTTTTGATACAAGATCTCATCATATAGACCTGGCTGTCCTGGAACTCACTATGTAGACAAGACTGGCCTTGAACTCAGAGATCCACCTACTTGTGCCTATTGAGTGCTGGAATTAAAGACATTTGCCATCACAGCTTCCTTTCTTTATGTTTATATATATGAGCATTTACCTGCATGTGTATATATGTACCATGTGTATGCCTAATGCTCTCAAAAGCCAGAAAATGGTCTTGGATCCCCTGGAACTTGAGTTACAGACTGTTGTGGGCCACTATGTAGGTGCTGGGAACCAAATCAAAGTCCTCTGCAAGAGCGGCAACTATTCTTAACTGATGAGCCATCCCTCCAGCCCCATCTTTTTAATATATATATATATATATATATATATATATATATATATCAGAAGTTTCTTGTATAGTTTAGCCCAAAGTCAAATAATGTACTTTGGATGGGCAGGACTGTCAGTCACTTTTGAAAACCTTAGAGCAAAAGTTTAAACAAAGGTTTGCATATTATATCTAAATATTTGGAAGGTATGACTTAAAGGTTTAAATCGGTGTTCAAATAAAACTGTATTTAAAATTTTTTATTCTCTTAAACTACTCTGTAAAATGAAATTATTATTGGTCCTTGTTCAATGGCACACACTTCATCCTAGCTAGTCAGAGAACTAAATCAGAAAGGATGGTCAAAATAGTGATGTGACAACAAAACAATCTCAAGTGTACTGTTTGAGGACCACAGACATTGCATTCTAAAGAAATGGTACCACGGGCTAGGCATGATGGCCCACACCTTTAATGCTGGCACTCAGAAGCAGAAGCAGAATCAGGAGGGTTTCTGTCTGAAAGAAAATAAAAAAAAAAAAATGGTATCACTTTGTAATGGATTCTACCTTCTGCTGCCTGATCCCCTGACAGGAATAAAATGCTTATTTCATTTGTTAGGACTGATGTTAGTAGATAGCTCTCAGCTGTCATCTCACTTGCAAAAATGCATCAACTGAAGACAGTGACCTCCCCAAGATCATACCTTCTTCCTGGGGGCAGTTTTTGTCCAATGACTGATGGTCATGGCTTGAGACAGCTTATTAGCTCCCTCTGTCCATCCCTGCTTCCCTCTTTTCCCTTCAATGGATGTTGAACCCATGGAATTCCCTAATAAAGCCCTTCATGCTGTCTTTGTCTGCTCCCTAGAGAATAAACCTTCAAGAATCAATACAAGAAGCTGTTCAAGAAAGCAAACACTGGGATGAAATATTCTAAATAGATTTCTTGCTGACCAGTTGTCAGTGTGAACTCCACCCAGGAGGAAGGTTTCACAGATACAAACATGGAATGAGGGGGCACAAGAACACCTAGAGAGAATTTGCTGATGAAAGGGAAAGTATTGTCTGGAACCATATGTCAAAACTTGAAAATGAGGCTAGACGCAAAACTCATTAAGAGCACTTGTTGTTCTTACAGAGTATCTAAATTTGATTTCCAGCACCCACATGGTAGTTTATAACTATCCATACATCCCATTCCTGGTGATTCATTGCACTCTTCTGACCTCTGTGGATACCAGGCATGTACATGGTGCACATACAAACATTCAGACAAAGCACTTGAATGTATAAGCAAAATATATAAATCTAAAAACTATTTTAAATACAAACACTTAAGCATATAAATAAAATATATAAATCTAAAAAATATTTAAATACTTTGACAAAAGTGGTATAAATTTCATGTGTAGGAAAGGTTATTAAGTTTGATTGACATTTAAAAAGCTGAGAAAGTAACTTAAATTAAAACCTAATAGCTGTATTCAAAATCAAGAGAGCTTCCCTCATCAGTTATATAGAACTTTAATGTACAGAAAGAGAAATCTGAAGAGCAGGCACAGGAATTATTGAAAAAAGTAAAGCTTTCAAGAATGTTAAAATCACAACCAAATCTTCTATGTTAGACCCAAGCCCTGGTTAGAAAGAAATGTGACCTAGTGACCTGTAGGATGGAACCTCTTGATTGTTTTTCCATAAATATTTTGTATCTCCTACATCTCTCTGAATCCTTGAATTATTCAGAACTGTCTCACTTTTGATGATTGGAGGCTGGAACTCCATCTTTCTTGAAGATTTAAGCATGCCTTTTGTCTTTAAGATGGCATGGACTGACCCTAGAATCTGCTCTGACTCATCTTGGTCACTAGGCCTGTAACTAG